TCCGTTCTTCACCCTAAACCCCAAAATAATAGAAAACATCTCATAAAGCTGAACTCCGGGGAGATATATAAGACACAAAGGAAGGCAGCTCTGCGTTTGTTTTTTAATGTAAACATTGTTAGTACCTGAATGTGACCTGGTATCAGGTTCCTGCAGTCCCTGTACAGCAAAACTTAGACTGGGAGAGAGAGAAAAAGTCTGCTGATTCTCATTTTACTGTCCAGAGACTGGGGGAGGGACATGACCTGTACGTGTTACTGACCTACAGCAGAGAAATATCAGGTCTCCTGCTCTGCCCATTTGTGGGCAGGTCTCCTACCTATTTCCTCTAAGCCTGTGAGCCTTGAGGGCCCATCATCACGCCTGCATGGACTCACAGAAGCAAAGAACAGCACCACATATTTCAGCACGTGGTGGGTAGTGCAAGGGGAAGCTGAAATGGAGAGGGTGGAATGGGTGGGAGGCTACATTTCAGATGTAAACATTAAACCAACAGACTACATAGAAGAATGTTGTCTCACAAACTTCACTATCACTTCTGTGTTCTATACACCGAGTCCCACCTACCTGATCATGGTGGGGGATGGTGAGATCTTCCTGTGTGGAATCCAGGGAATACAGAGGACGTGGACATCTCTCTGGTGGGTTTGTGTCACTGAATGTCTCCATGATGATATCCTTGAAATGGTCTTTGTGTCCTTCTGAAAACTTTTCCATCACACCAACCTCCTCCTCTTTCATCTCGTCTTTAACATCATTATCACACTCACTCTGGTTTATACCCTGAATATTGAGAACAATGACATCAGATGTAACTACATAGGTCAAAAAGTATCCCCTAGTATCTATTATTTCTCTGTTTCACCTTATGTGAGACGGTGAGATCTTCCTGGGTGGAATCCCGGGAATACAGAGGACGGGGACATCTCTCTGGTGGGTTCCTCTTACTGGATCCATCTGTAGGAAACACACACACTGACTGAATACATTGTTTCTATGTGTGTATCAGATGATGGGGGATCTAGGTGGACCCTCCGTACTGCTCTCTCCTCTTACCCGGTGATGTGAGGGGCGGCTCATTCTCCATCACGATGTCCTTGTAGAGATCCTTGTGTTCCTCCATGAAGAAATAGACACCTTATAGGAACCTGACACACGCAATGATACAGTCACTATTCTGTAATCCTGTTTGAAGGGAGAAGATAACAAGGATTACGTGTTCAAGAGTCAAGTTTTCCAGCGTTCTTGGAAGACGAAAGTCTAGTAGCTCAGGACTTGAAATTTTGAGCCCTGCTATAACAAACCTCACAGTGAACTTTGAGGAAGACGATGGATATGAAGGAGAGGGTAACCGGGTGTAAATATAAAATATTATCTTATTACCTCCTCTGCAGCCGATTTAAGCAATGTCTCCTCTTTGCTTCCTCCCAAATCACTTCCCACCTCACTCTTACATTACTTCCTGTTCATCACCCTACATCACTTCCTGTCTATACCTTACATCACTTCCTGTCTTTATCTTACATCAATTCCTGTAGGTGGCTACCACGTGAGATCACCACCTTGTGTTGAATATAAATACTTCAGTCTCCGTTACGTGTCATCATTGTGCTCGCTGCCTTGTGGTCTATTCCTCTGTTACGTTATATCCATGACTACACACGGATTATACCTCACATCAAATGCAGACAATAAAAAATATAATGAAAAACAACGTGATAGATTTTTTTTATATTAATAAAAGTGAAACTAAATAAGAAACTGTTTTAGAAAACAAACTAAAACTTGAAATACCACCTAGTGGGCTCATTTTACAAAGCTTCAGTACAAGTATAAGGAGTTTTTTTTTAGTCATGTGACTTTCATTTTCTGATCTCATTGAACTATTTATCTCATTGAACAATTAAAATGATAATCGTTTTTTTGAAATGGTGAATAAAGATCCATATCCTGGTGAGTTTTAGGTTTTTGGGTTGAGCCCATTGTAATGATATATAGGTGTCATCTAGGGTGACCTTCTCCGTTGGGTCTCCATTCAGGTACGTGATACTAGGATTTGGAGCAATTGTCCCATTTTCTGCAGCTCCCGGAGCTCCCGGCCGCCTCATCTGGCGAGGCTCCGGTCAGTGAGGCGGCTCGGGGTGGGAACAGATCCGCTGCGGGTGCCGGCCAGGCCTGTGATGCGGCCGGCGGCCCCTCCCCCTTCTCCTCCAGCACTCGGCGAGGGCTGTCTGCCACAGTGCCTGACCCCGCGGCTGCAGTTCTGAGCAGGCGCCGCACGGGGCACGGGGCACTCTGGCCTCAGAAGACTTCGCACCGTGATCGTCGGCGGTTCGGCCGGGACGGCGAAGAGGAGAGATCTGTAGGTGAGGTGTCGGCCTCAGAAGACGAGCATCAGGACGGACGGACACCGCAGGCTGCTGGAGCAACGGCTGTTGGGGAGGGCCCTAGTCAGCCAGGTAAGACTTCTTATCCTTATATTTCCATTTTAACTGTTTTGGGGGATTTTGTGCATAGTGTTAGGAGGGGCACACTAGCAGAGGTGGGGACTGACCCTCAGGTTAGCACAGTTTTTAAATGGTGAATAAAGATCCATATCCTGGTGTGTTTTAGGTTTTTGGGTTGAGCCTATTCTAATGATATATAGGTGTCATCTAGGGTGACCCTTCTCCGTTGGGTCTCCATTCAGGTACGTGATACTAGGATTTTGGAGCAATTGTCCCATTTTCTGCAGTCATTGCCTGCAGCGGGGGGATTTCTCTCCCCATTGACAGTGTTCGAGGTTAGCTATTGTCAAACGAGTACACATAGACATGCTGTGTGGTGTACCACTTACTTAACTCCCCATCTGTTGGTATCTCTCTCTCTCTCCCTCTCTCGTACATTAACCAATGGGAAGGAGACTTCAGTGTACACCGGATGCTACAGACAGGATCATGTTCTTCACTCAGAAGAGCTCTGTTACCACAAAATACCCATCATTATAAATGTATCTTTTTATGGATACCAATAACATAACTTTCCATCATGTATTGGTTTTTCCTGACACTACTCTGCAAGAAGTTCCACTGCTCTAACCTGGAGCCCAGTAGCTCTGCCTTACTCTTAGGCAGTTCCAAATCCATGACCAGGCCACTCTTTGAAATGAGATGTGGCTCAGGAGGAGCATACGGTGGCCTACTGTTTGGGTTCCGCTGACATCGACGGCCCTGGATCAGCTGCATCCTGCTCATCGTCTTTATCATCATCTGAGTCTAGAGATTAGGATTCTGGTGGACCTGGAATAGTCAAGTCCTCACCATGGGGTACAGGACGCAGTGCGGATGGAATGTTTGGATATTCCACTCTGACATATAGGGCCAACTGACAAATTGGGCCCAATCCCCCCGCCCCCCAAACCCTCAGTAATTTTCAAAAAAGCCAGAAGCACGAATAACATAATAGCCCCCAGTAAATTGTCCATCACAAAACACAAACCTAAGCATACTTTTTTGTTTGAGAACAGAAAATGGGTCTACAAGTTTGAAAAACCAAAATGTCTCACTTGCCAACTTATCACTCACGGCCGTCCCTCGTTCCAGGACAGCTCCGGCAATACTTTTCCAATAACACAATTCATCACCTGCGCCCACAATCACGTAGTCTAAGGCCTTCAAATGCCCCTGTGGTCTACTCTACATAGGCCGCACCATCCGACCGCTCTGCAAAACGCATCGGTGAACACCGCAGGTTCATAGAAAAAAGATGCATTGAACACAGCATTCCCCCGACATTTTCTCGAGAAACACAATAAAAACACGCAGCACCTCCAAGTTTTCGCAATCGAACAGATCCCCGAAAGAATCCTTCCCTCAGACAGATTCCACCAACTGTGCAAGCAAGAGACAAATTGGATTTATAAACTAAACACTCTTTCGCCACATGGTCTCAACAACCCCTCCATCCCTCACACGTTACCATGTTTTCCACTTTTACTTCTCAAAATACACTGAGTGGCCAGATTATTATGACCACCCCATCAGTACTTCGTTGGGCCACCTCGTGACTCCACGAGATGTTGAAAGGTGATGCGAGGAACCTGACACGGCACTGTTGCCCTTCTGTTGTCTTGTACCAGTCTTGCCCCTCCCCCATTCTGCCCTAACATCGACTAGTCGCTGACGGCCACAATTCGCGAGTTCAGACCCAGATTTTTGGCTGACAGTCCAGTCTTTAAAAACTTGACTGATGGATTCGTCAATTTTTTTGTCGCTCTGTTAAAAATCCCAATAAACAAACAGACTGCGCGACATAGATTTTAACGGCCACAGCAGCCCTTTTATTAACCAAACAAACAGTTTTAACAATAACCAAAAGTAATAAACCAAAAATATACACAAATGACACTGTAAACAATGGTTCACCTGAGAAGGAGTCTTTGGGTGCCCAACAGCTCCAAAAAGGCCTCTCATAACACTCCATCCATGTCCCCAGCCGCACCACAACTGGGTGGGACAACCTACTTCCTTCGTCGCTTTCCAGAAAGAGGGTGTCCCTAAGCCCTCGCAGTCCCTTTCCATGCGGCTCCTCCCAGACACCTGACTTCCACGTTGAATCAGGTAAGAGCAGCTACTCCCGATTTATTTGTTAACCCTTTCTCCCGGGACTATTCCTCCCCCCAGTCATGTAGCCCCTCCGCTTAGTCTCTCCGGGTCTGTCTAACAACAGCTGCTCTTAAACATTTAACAAATTCTGCTGTTTTGCTGATACTCGCTCCATGGCTCCGAGCGCCAACAATCATTCCGCGTTCAAAGGCTGTTAAATCGTGTTGTTTCCCCGTATCTTCAGAAAAAAATCACTTCTACTTGTACCACCTGTATGTTGTTCTTTGTACTATGGACACTCATGGCTGTTGTGTTATTTACATGTTTCTGTATTCCTGTTATTTGTCTTTTGTAACCTCAAATGAAAAATGTATTTAAAAAATAAAAAAAGGGAGGATGTGAACGGTGGAAGCTGCACCAAAACATGATGGAGAGGACAGAGGACAGATGACTAGTATTTATAATTATAGCAAAACAAAAGAATGCAATTCAAACGGAAAATTGATGCACAAAATGATAAAATACACACTTTAATGGTATAAATATATGACATTATGACAATGTAATAAAATGATTAGTGATGCACAGATACTTTTCACGTACCAGTGCCGATACTTGGCATTTTCATGAGAACTACCAGGGTTGCAGAGGTTGCAGCTGGGACCTGGCTCTGGTGCTCCACCACTGTGCTGAAATCATTAGTCGATATTGTTTTAGAAAAACTGTCACATGACAATAAACAAAAATGTATCAATACTCGTACTCGCGAAACTGGTGCCGGTGCATCCCTTTATTTATAATTATAAAAACAAAATCCATACATTAAAACAGAGATGTACAAATCCCGGGAGCTCCGTGTGCTCCTTACAAATGACAGCGGCCTCCTAACTTTTGAATTTTTCTCTAGTCTGGTCTTGGAGCTCAAAGTATCGGTACTTGTACTTGGTATCGGTGCATTCCTAAAAATGATTACCATTGAGGTAAGGAGAATCCTTCTTCCTGATGACCACCCTTATTCTTTTATACCCTACAGTTGTTCTATGGACTATCTTACAATTGTTCTATGCACTAAACAGTTCCACCTGTGAAAAACCATCGTACATTTGTCATAAGAACCAGCTGGCGCTGTCTATTTATCTTCTTTTCCCGCAGTCAGTGAGGACGCTCCGCAGTATGTTTCTCTGTGGAAGATTTGCTGTACTCTGAACATGAATAAGAACGCTCACCTGTGTGAACTCTCTGGTGTTTAACAAGGGATCCTTTACAAATGAATGATTTCCCGCACTCTGCACATGAATAAGGACGCTCACCCGTGTGAATTCTCTGGTGTTCAACAAGGTTTCCTTTCTGAGTGAATGATTTCCCGCACTCTGAACATGAATAAGGACGCTCACCTGTGTGAATTCTCTGGTGTTTAACAAAGACTCCTTTATGAATGAATGATTTCCCGCACTCTGAACATGAATAAGGACGCTCACCTGTGTGAATTCTCTGGTGTATAACAAGGGCTCCTTTCTGAGTGAATGATTTCCCGCACTCTGAACATGAATAATTACACTCACCTGTGTGATTTCTCTGGTGTTTAACAAGGGCTCCTTTCTCAGTGAAAGATTTCCAGCACTCTGAACATGAATAAGGACGCTCACCAGTGTGATTTCTCTGGTGTTTAACAAGGGCTCCTTTCTCAGTGAAAGATTTCCAGCACTCTGAACATGAATAAGGACGCTCACCCGTGTGAATTATCTGGTGCTTAACAAGGTTTGCTTTCTGAGTGAAAGATTTCCTGCACTCTGAACATGAATAAGGACGCTCACCCGTGTGAATTCTCTGGTGTATAACAAGGGCTTCTTTCTGAGTGAATGATTTCTCGCATTCTGAACATGAATAAGGTCGCTCACACATGTGAATTCCCTGGTGTTTAACAAGGGTTTCTTTCTGAGTGAAAGATTTCCCGCACTCTGAACATGAATAAGGACGCTCACCCGTGTGAATTATCTGGTGCTTAACAAGGTTTGCTTTCTGAGTGAAAGATTTCCCGCACTCTGAACAGGAATAAGGACGCTCACCCGTGTGAATTATCTGGTGCTTAACAAGGTTTGCTTTCTGAGTGAAAGATTTCCCGCACTCTGAACAGGAATAAGGACGCTCACCCGTGTGAATTATCTGGTGCTTAACAAGGTTTGCTTTCTGAGTGAAAGATTTCCCGCACTCTGAACAGGAATAAGGACGCTCACCCGTGTGAATTATCTGGTGCTTAACAAGGTTTGCTTTCTGAGTGAAAGATTTCCCGCACTCTGAACAGGAATAAGGACGCTCACCAGTGTGAATTCTCTGGTGTATAACAAGGTGTCTCTGCTGAATGAAAGATTTCCCGCACTCTGAACATGAATAAGGACGCTCACCCATGTGAATTCTCTGGTGTTTAACAAGGGCTCCTCTCTCAGTGAAACATTTTCCACACGCTGAACATGAATAGGGTTGCTCATCCATGTTCATACTTTGGTGTCTATGAAGGTTTTTGTTTTCAATTAAAGATTTCCCACACACTGCATGTGAGAAAAGATTTTCACCTCTGTGATCTCCTTCATGGGGTGAGGAATATTCCTTGGGATTAGATGGATCTCTTGCAGTGTGAGATCTTAGATGGATATTTCCAATCATAGTATGTGAATGATCAGAAGATTCACCCTGATCAGAGGGATCCATTGATGTCTCCAAACAGTAAGGTCTGTGGTTTATATTTTGTGTGTTTGGATTCACTCCTGGAGAATCCTGTGTGATGACATTATCTTCTGACTTACAACCAGCAGATAATATAAGATGTCTCTCCAAGGTATTCCTGACATCACATCCATCTGCTGGAGAGAAATCATTACACACGTCAGTAATCAGAGTCATGTATGTTGGTCTAGAAGTCATCACAGAGCTGTGGCATGGAATTGGGTACAACGTAACACGACATGTAAAAACAAATTAGTTAAAGGATAAAACACCCAAAACAACTCTGACACATTGGGCAAAATAGTTTTGTGAACTAATCACGGCTATGGAGAAGAAGAGAGATGGACCTTCATATGGTGTACAGTATCTCCTCCTCATTTGATGGGCACATGATGTTATATTGAGGAATGGAGATGGACCTTCATATAAACCTTTTTTGGTTTTTCAAGAAAAAACAAACTTAAAACTTCTGAGCATTAGAGATTGCTCTACCATATGATTTTCAATATCTCCTCCTCCTTTGTGTGGGAGATACTAACTCTAAGGAACTGCTGGAGAAAAAGATTAAACAACAAGGAGTCAAAAAGTAAATTTTCTCCCATTGTTAGTTCGGGGGACACAGCGTCTGACCTCAATCAAAAAGTAGTCCCTTAAAATGAGGGAAAAAATAAAACCAAAAGATAACCCTCAGATATCACCGTGTGACGGGATCTCACTGACGCCTGTAGGAATCTACCTCCAAAGTGGCATTGGACGTTGCTGTTACAAACCCCTGAACTAAAAGTGATCACTTCGCATACCTAGGTATAAGGTATCCAGGCCTTCTGCGCATGTGCGTGGTCCCGTTTTTCATACCATAGGAAAACAACTACTTGCGCGACGTATGTGCACAAGCGCGCTAATCTGGCGCACAGGAAGTGATGCAGAACCTCTGAATTGATCTTCCTATTTAAAGCAAGCACAGCCTGGGCCTAGTTGCTGGGTGGTCCTTCAGCTGTTCCCTGTCGTCCTGTTTGCTCTATCTGTTTACTGCTCCTGCACCTTTCACCGGATTGAACCTGACTGCTCCTTATTGCTGCCTGCTTTCTGACCTTGGAATTGTTACTGGACTTTGCCTCTGCCTCATCCCTTGTACTTCACTGCCCGACTGGTGTGACCCCTGGCTTGCCTGACCTCGATTCTGCCTCCTGCTCTGGTACCCTGCTACCCGCCTGGTGTGACCTCGGCTCTGGTCTACCCGATCCAGATTCTGGACTTCTGCCTGGCATGGTGTTGCCCCATCCACTGGCACCCGTGCTACTTGCTGTTTCTCAGGCCCAGAGTTCTTCTTACAGATTTTTCAGTCCAGTTTTGGATGTAAAAGATCATTTCTCCATGACAATGGACCCAACATTTGTATGTAGAACATTTGATGAGAGTTTATTTGCTGTAAATGACCCCCAACCATCCTAACACTAATCAGGAGATGACGACCCCTTCTTCCTACAATAGGGGAGATGACTTCTTCTAGTGAATCTTCTCCCCAACTTTGATGGTCCACCATTTATAATTCAGTCTCATCTTATCTGATGATGTGAAGATCTGATAATTCTCCAACATGATCCCTTAAATGTCACACCTTCTACTCAGAAGTGACATAGAACTGTGACCTGTTCACTCCATAGTGTCTGTTACTTACTTGTGTTGATCGGTAGAGAAATGTCATCATCCTGATCACTTTTCATCATCACCCCGACCTCCTCCGTGGACGGCCGGTCACCCCCCACATACGACTCCACTTCTTCCTCTTTAATCTCAACTTTTATATTGTTCCGTTCTTCACCCTAAACCCCAAAATAATAGAAAACATCTCATAAAGCTGAACTCCGGGGAGATATATAAGACACAAAGGAAGGCAGCTCTGCGTTTGTTTTTTAATGTAAACATTGTTAGTACCTGAATGTGACCTGGTATCAGGTTCCTGCAGTCCCTGTACAGCAAAACTTAGACTGGGAGAGAGAGAAAAAGTCTGCTGATTCTCATTTTACTGTCCAGAGACTGGGGGAGGGACATGACCTGTACGTGTTACTGACCTACAGCAGAGAAATATCAGGTCTCCTGCTCTGCCCATTTGTGGGCAGGTCTCCTACCTATTTCCTCTAAGCCTGTGAGCCTTGAGGGCCCATCATCACGCCTGCATGGACTCACAGAAGCAAAGAACAGCACCACATATTTCAGCACGTGGTGGGTGGTGCAAGGGGAAGCTGAAATGGAGAGGGTGGAATGGGTGGGGGGCTACATTTCAGATGTAAACATTAAACCAACAGACTACATAGAAGAATGTTGTCTCACAAACTTCACTATCACATCTGTGTTCTATACACCGAGTCCCACCTACCTGATCATGGTGGGGGATGGTGAGATCTTCCTGTGTGGAATCCAGGGAATACAGAGGACGTGGACATCTCTCTGGTGGGTTTGTGTCATTGAATGGCTCCATGATGATATCCTTGAAATGGTCTTTGTGTCCTTCTGAAAACTTTTCCATCACACCAACCTCCTCCTCCTCTTTCATCTCGTCTTTAACATCATTATCACAATCACTCTGGTTTATACCCTGAATATTGAGAACAATGAGATCATCTGTAACTACATAGGTCAAAAAGTATCCCCTATTATCTATTATTTCTCTGTTTCACCTCATGAGGGATGGTGAGATCTTCCTGTGTGGAATCCCGGGAATACAGAGGACGGGGACATCTCTCTGGCGGGTTCCTCTTACTGGATCCATCTGTAGGAAACACACACACACTGACTGAATACATTGTTTCTATGTGTGTATCAGATGATGGGGGATCTAGGTGGAGCCTCCGTACTGCTCTCTCCTCTTACCCGGTGATGTGAGGGACGGCTCATTCTCCATCACGACGTCCTTGTAGAGATCATTCTCCATCACGATGTCCTTGTAGAGATCCTTGTGTTCCTCCATGAAGAAATAGACACCTTATAGGAACCTGACACACGCAATGATACAGTCACTATTCCGTAATCCTGTTTGAAGGGAGAAGATAACAAGGATTACGTGTTCAAGAGTCAGGTTTTCCAGCGTGCTTGGAAGACGAAAGTCTAGTAGCTCAGGACTTGAAATTTTGAGCCCTGCTATAAATCATAACAAACCTCACAGTGAACTTTGAGGAAGACGATGGATATGAAGGAGAGGGTAACCGGGTGTAAATATAAAATATTATCTTATTACCTCCTCTGCAGCCGATTTAAGCAATGTCTTCTCTTTGCTTCCTCCCAAATCTTTCCCACCTCACTCTTACATTACTTCCTGTTCATCACCCTACATCACTTCCTGTCTATACCTTACATCACTTCCTGTCTATACCTTACATCACTTCCTGTAGGTGTCTTCCACATGAGATCACCACCATGTGTTGAATATAAATACTTCAGTCTCCGTTACGTCTCATCATTGTGCTCGCTGCCTTGTGGTCTATTCCTCTATTACGTTACATCCATGACTACACACAGATTATGATCAAAAGAAACAAAGCGCTAAAGGTAGCTATATGAGCAAAAGAATATGCTATAATTGATTCTGGCGAGGTCAGTATAGAAGCTAATATATAAGTAAAAAATAGGACTAGCTTCATAAACAAGTATAAATAAAACCAGTCTAACCAAAATACAAAAAACAATTAGAACCACTAAAATTCATTCCGATGGAATAAATAAAAATAAACGATCATACTAGGTTCCACCCTTTTTTCAGAGCAGCTTTGGGTATAGGTATTCACATATATTCACATTTTCTTTATTAATTTAATTTATTTAATTTATTACTAAATTTCATTTTTCCAGAAGCGCAGATTTATTTGTTTACACACAGATTATACCTCACATCAAATCCAGACAATAAAGAAATTAAATGAAAAACAACAATGTGATATATTTTTTGGAATATTAATAAAAGCGAAACTAAATAAGAAACTGTTTTAGAAAACAAACTTGAAATACCACCTAGTGGGCTCATTTTACAAAGCTTCAATACAAGTATAAGGAGTTTTATTTTAGTCATGTGACTTTCATTTTCTGATCTCATTGAACTCCAATTAAAATTACAAAATGTTTTAAATGGTGAATAAAGATCCATATCCTGGTGTGTTTTAGGTTTTTGGGTTGAGCCTATTGTAATGATATATAGATGTCATCTAGAGTGACCCTTCTCCGTTGGGTCTCCATTCAGGTACGTGATACTAGGATTTTGGAGCAATTGTCCCATTTTCTGCAGTCATTGCCTGCAGCGGGGGGATTTCTCTCCCCATTGACAGTGTTCGAGGTTAGCTATTGTCAAACGAGTACACTTATACATGCTGTATGGTGTACCACTTACTTAACTCCCCATCCGGTGGTATTTCTCTCTCTCTCGTACATTAACCAATGGGAAGGAGACTTCAGTTTACAGCGGATGCTATAGACAGGATCATGTTCTTCACTCAGAAGACCTTTGTTACCACAAAATACCCATCATTATAAATGTATCTTATTATGGATACTAATAACATAACTTTCCATTCATTTATTGTTTTTTCCTGACACCACTCTGCAAGATGTTCCACTGTTGTAATCTGGAGCCCAGTAGCTCTGCCTTACTCTTAGGCAGTTCCAAATTCCTGACCAGGTCACTCTGTGAAATTAGATGTGGCTCAGGAGGAGCATACGGTGGGCTACTGTTTGGGTTCCGCTGACATCGATGGCCCCGGATCAGCTGCATCCTGCTCATCGTCTTTATCATCATCTGAGTCTAGAGAGAAGGATTCTGGTGGATCTGGAATAGGCAAGTCCTCACCATGGGGTACAGGACGCAGTGCGGATGGAATGTTTGGATATTCCGCGGGCCTCTTCTTTCTTGAGATCGCTTTTGCAATAGAGGGAACCATGCAGAAATAGCAGTCGCTACTATGATTGGTGGGTTCCCTCCACACCATTTGGACTGCGAAAGGCGTGGACTTCTTCTTCTTGTTTAGCCAATGACGCAGATAAGTAATCCAACTATAATGAGGAGCCCGACTTTTGTCCTGATCCCCTATTTAGCATCCTAAATATAGGTCGTATGCCTTTTTTACCACTGCTGTCATACTGCACTTTTGAGATGCAAATGGAACCTCGCCACACATGTAGCAGAAGTTAGATGCGTCGTTTATACAGTTTCGAGGCATCTTGGCTTCTGAGGGAAAATATCACGCAACTGTTCCTTGGAAATGTTAGTCCATGACACTTTCACAGGCCACCAGATGTAACTGTATGATGCGTAGATCTGACCAAGACAAATGTACTTCTCCATAAAAGAAGAATAAATGACAGTTGGGTAATAATCTTTAGTCTCAAAGTGAAGATAAATTGATACACTTCCATGTGGTACCATTTTCATTGCTCTACCGTACATTGTTGGGAAGTTACGAGGCATCATGATCATCAGACACCTCCCTCCCTTGTAGGCAAATATACTCTCCTGTGTATAAATCTTTATCTTGAAAACTTTAGCCAACCATCAGCACCTTGATTCTGATTCATCTCATCAAAATATGTAAGAAGTCACACATTTTATCTCGGAGGTCAATCATTTCCCAAAATTTGTAGACCGGTCTATTTATCATGCGATCCTCTTGAGGACAAACCTGGATCCTCCATTCGTTCAGTCTCATTGACCATGTTAATACACATTAGCATGGAGGGGGACATGTCTGCCACCACCATACAGGTATACAACTTCTCGCTGCATCAACAAGACGTGGTAGTATCGATTTTTTTGTAGGCACATCTCGGTATAGAATTTTGTGATGTATTAATATCCGAGGTCTTTGCAGGTCCAGAAACTGTGTAGTATAGGACACCAGAGGTGTCCTATACTATCGAGTCCGAAGCTTAAAGCCTGATTTCTGGTATATTGTGCTAACAGAGGTCTTCTGAGTGAAGAACATGATCCTGTCTATAGCATCCGGTGTAAACTGAAGTCTCCTTCCCATTGGGTAATGTACGAGAGAGAGAGGCCAACGGATGGGGAGCTTAGTAAGTGGTACACCATACAGCATGTCTAAATGTACTTGTTTGACAATAGCTAACCTCGAACACTGTCAAAGGGCGAGATATCCCCCCGCTGGAGGCAATGACTGCAGAAAACGGGACAATTGCTCCAAAATCCTAGTATCACGTACCTGCATGGAGACCCAACGGAGAAGGTCACCCTAGATGACACCTATATATCATTACAATAGGCTCAACCCAAAAACCTAACACACACCAAGATATGGATCTATATTCACCATTTAAAAACTGATTGTAATTTTAATTGGAGTTCAATGAGATCAGAAAATGAAAGTCACATGACTAAAATAAAACTCCTTATACTTGTATTGAAGCTTTGTAAAATGAGCCCACTAGCTGGTATTTCAAGTTTTAGTTTGTTTTCTAAAACAGTTTCTTATTTAGTTTCACTTTTATTAATATTTAAAAAAAAAATATCACATTGTTGTTTTTTATTATATTTCTGTATTGTCTGGATTTGTTGTGAGGTATAATCTGTGTGTAGTCATGGAGGTAACGTAACAGAGGAATAGACCACAAGGCAGCGAGCACAATGATGAAACATAACGGAGACTGAAGTATTTATATTCAACACCAGGTGGTGATCTCACTTGGAAGACATCTACAGGAAGTGATGTAAGGGATATGATGTAAGGTACAGACAGGAAGTGATGTAGAGTGATGAACAGGAAAAATTTAAGAGTGAGGTGGGAAGTGATTTGTGAGGAAGCAAAGAGGAGACATCGGCTGCAGAGGAGGTAATAAGATATTATTTTATATTTACATCCGGTAACGATATCCTTCATACCCACCATCTTCCTCAAAGTTCACTGTGAGATCTGTTATGATTAGGGTTGCCACCTTTTCTTCAAGCGAAACCCGAACACTCTAGCGACGTGCCGACATTTTTTGGGAGAATGAGTCGAGGCTTATTCATATGTAAATATCACAGTTGAGACTATTTTCAAAGGTTGGGTTCCTCTTACTGGATCCATCTGTAGGAAACACACACACTGACTGAATACATTGTTTCTATGTGTGTATCAGATGATGGGGGATCTAGGTGGAGCCTCCGTACTGCTCTCTCCTCTTACCCGGTGATGTGAGGGACGGCTCATTCTCCATCACGACGTCCTTGTAGAGATCATTCTCCATCACGATGTCCTTGTAGAGATCCTTGTGTTCCTCCATGAAGAAATAGACACCTTATAGGAACCTGACACACGCAATGATACAGTCACTATTCCGTAATCCTGTTTGAAGGGAGAAGATAACAAGGATTACGTGTTCAAGAGTCAGGTTTTCCAGCGTGCTTGGAAGACGAAAGTCTAGTAGCTCAGGACTTGAAATTTTGAGCCCTGCTATAAATCATAACAAACCTCACAGTGAACTTTGAGGAAGACGATGGATATGAAGGAGAGGGTAACCGGGTGTAAATATAAAATATTATCTTATTACCTCCTCTGCAGCCGATTTAAGCAATGTCTTCTCTTTGCTTCCTCCCAAATCTTTCCCACCTCACTCTTACATTACTTCCTGTTCATCACCCTACATCACTTCCTGTCTATACCTTACATCACTTCCTGTCTATACCTTACATCACTTCCTGTAGGTGTCTTCCACATGAGATCACCACCATGTGTTGAATATAAATACTTCAGTCTCCGTTACGTCTCATCATTGTGCTCGCTGCCTTGTGGTCTATTCCTCTATTACGTTACATCCATGACTACACACAGATTATGATCAAAAGAAACAAAGCGCTAAAGGTAGCTATATGAGCAAAAGAATATGCTATAATTGATTCTGGCGAGGTCAGTATAGAAGCTAATATATAAGTAAAAAATAGGACTAGCTTCATAAACAAGTATAAATAAAACCAGTCTAACCAAAATACAAAAAACAATTAGAACCACTAAAATTCATTCCGATGGAATAAATAAAAATAAACGATCATACTAGGTTCCACCCTTTTTTCAGAGCAGCTTTGGGTATAGGTATTCACATATATTCACATTTTCTTTATTAATTTAATTTATTTAATTTATTACTAAATTTCATTTTTCCAGAAGCGCAGATTTATTTGTTTACACACAGATTATACCTCACATCAAATCCAGACAATAAAGAAATTAAATGAAAAACAACAATGTGATATATTTTTTGGAATATTAATAAAAGCGAAACTAAATAAGAAACTGTTTTAGAAAACAAACTTGAAATACCACCTAGTGGGCTCATTTTACAAAGCTTCAATACAAGTATAAGGAGTTTTATTTTAGTCATGTGACTTTCATTTTCTGATCTCATTGAACTCCAATTAAAATTACAAAATGTTTTAAATGGTGAATAAAGATCCATATCCTGGTGTGTTTTAGGTTTTTGGGTTGAGCCTATTGTAATGATATATAGATGTCATCTAGAGTGACCCTTCTCCGTTGGGTCTCCATTCAGGTACGTGATACTAGGATTTTGGAGCAATTGTCCCATTTTCTGCAGTCATTGCCTGCAGCGGGGGGATTTCTCTCCCCATTGACAGTGTTCGAGGTTAGCTATTGTCAAACGAGTACACTTATACATGCTGTATGGTGTACCACTTACTTAACTCCCCATCCGGTGGTATTTCTCTCTCTCTCGTACATTAACCAATGGGAAGGAGACTTCAGTTTACAGCGGATGCTATAGACAGGATCATGTTCTTCACTCAGAAGACCTCTGTTACCACAAAATACCCATCATTATAAATGTATCTTATTATGGATACTAATAACATAACTTTCCATTCATTTATTGTTTTTTCCTGACACCACTCTGCAAGATGTTCCACTGTTGTAATCTGGAGCCCAGTAGCTCTGCCTTACTCTTAGGCAGTTCCAAATTCCTGACCAGGTCACTCTGTGAAATTAGATGTGGCTCAGGAGGAGCATACGGTGGGCTACTGTTTGGGTTCCGCTGACATCGATGGCCCCGGATCAGCTGCATCCTGCTCATCGTCTTTATCATCATCTGAGTCTAGAGAGAAGGATTCTGGTGGATCTGGAATAGGCAAGTCCTCACCATGGGGTACAGGACGCAGTGCGGATGGAATGTTTGGATATTCCGCGGGCCTCTTCTTTCTTGAGATCGCTTTTGCAATAGAGGGAACCATGCAGAAATAGCAGTCGCTACTATGATTGGTGGGTTCCCTCCACACCATTTGGACTGCGAAAGGCGTGGACTTCTTCTTCTTGTTTAGCCAATGACGCAGATAAGTAATCCAACTATAATGAGGAGCCCGACTTTTGTCCTGATCCCCTATTTAGCATCCTAAATATAGGTCGTATGCCTTTTTTACCACTGCTGTCATACTGCACTTTTGAGATGCAAATGGAACCTCGCCACACATGTAGCAGAAGTTAGATGCGTCGTTTATACAGTTTCGAGGCATCTTGGCTTCTGAGGGAAAATATCACGCAACTGTTCCTTGGAAATGTTAGTCCATGACACTTTCACAGGCCACCAGATGTAACTGTATGATGCGTAGATCTGACCAAGACAAATGTACTTCTCCATAAAAGAAGAATAAATGACAGTTGGGTAATAATCTTTAGTCTCAAAGTGAAGATAAATTGATACACTTCCATGTGGTACCATTTTCATTGCTCTACCGTACATTGTTGGGAAGTTACGAGGCATCATGATCATCAGACACCTCCCTCCCTTGTAGGCAAATATACTCTCCTGTGTATAAATCTTTATCTTGAAAACTTTAGCCAACCATCAGCACCTTGATTCTGATTCATCTCATCAAAATATGTAAGAAGTCACACATTTTATCTCGGAGGTCAATCATTTCCCAAAATTTGTAGACCGGTCTATTTATCATGCGATCCTCTTGAGGACAAACCTGGATCCTCCATTCGTTCAGTCTCATTGACCATGTTAATACACATTAGCATGGAGGGGGACATGTCTGCCACCACCATACAGGTATACAACTTCTCGCTGCATCAACAAGACGTGGTAGTATCGATTTTTTTGTAGGCACATCTCGGTATAGAATTTTGTGATGTATTAATATCCGAGGTCTTTGCAGGTCCAGAAACTGTGTAGTATAGGACACCAGAGGTGTCCTATACTATCGAGTCCGAAGCTTAAAGCCTGATTTCTGGTATATTGTGCTAACAGAGGTCTTCTGAGTGAAGAACATGATCCTGTCTATAGCATCCGGTGTAAACTGAAGTCTCCTTCCCATTGGGTAATGTACGAGAGAGAGAGGCCAACGGATGGGGAGCTTAGTAAGTGGTACACCATACAGCATGTCTAAATGTACTTGTTTGACAATAGCTAACCTCGAACACTGTCAAAGGGCGAGATATCCCCCCGCTGGAGGCAATGACTGCAGAAAACGGGACAATTGCTCCAAAATCCTAGTATCACGTACCTGCATGGAGACCCAACGGAGAAGGTCACCCTAGATGACACCTATATATCATTACAATAGGCTCAACCCAAAAACCTAACACACACCAAGATATGGATCTATATTCACCATTTAAAAACTGATTGTAATTTTAATTGGAGTTCAATGAGATCAGAAAATGAAAGTCACATGACTAAAATAAAACTCCTTATACTTGTATTGAAGC